GCCCACCTCTTCGATTCCGCGGTCCTTCCTGCCTTGACGTACGCCTCAGAGACTTGGACTCTACGAAAGCAGGATGAGCATGCGGTCGGCGTTATTCAACGCGCCATCGAAAGGGCGATGCTCGGAGTTTCCCGCAAGTGAGAGAGGGAATCCGGAGCTCCGCACTCCGCCAACGATCGAAGATCAGAGACGCCGCCGCATTTGCCAAGGCTTCGAAGATCAGGTGGGCTGGACACGTCATGCGTTTCGAGGACGACCGCTGGACCAGAGCAGTCACCGACTGGATTCCACGGGATGTCAAGCGAACGCCTGGACGACCGCCTATGCGATGGTCAGACTTCTTCGTGAAAGCTCTGAACGAACGGTATGAAGTTCATCGTGTCCCTCGAGCTGAGAGAGTTCATTGGGCAACTCTTGCACGTTGCAGGGACGAATGGAGACGTTACTGGCGCCCGCTCGAGGAACTCGATGATCAACGGGAGCACAGGTGATACAGGTGATACAGTGATACATATAACTCATCAATGTGACCCTTTTTCGACCCCCTGCTGTCGATTCCTCAACCATGCCTTGCCCAGGCCTGGAAGTATTGTGAACGAACGATGATGGCTTGTTCGAAGATGGTATAAGCAAAAAATTGGCTACAGACGCCAACACGGCACGATTATCCTTGACAACTGCGCGAAACCATCGAGACGCTTGAAAAAGATCCTGGTAGCATTCGAAGTTGCTCGAACGATAAATATTCAAGAGGAATAAGTGTACACGATGTGCAACATCATTAGCTCATCCCTTGAGTTATGGGTTGAATTCTTTGAATCCTTAGCTCGAAAGGTGTTTTGAGGCGATAGTCATTGGTTGCGGTAACCGGACGCAGTGCGTTCCCGTTCTCTCCCGCATCTTCGTACTTCTCTCGCTCGCTCCTCTATGGTCAGTCTCTCGTCCAAGCTCATCGTGTTCTTCACCGCACGCTTGTACAATGCTCCAGATCCCAAAAAAACTGAGTATGCCGTTGTCTTTCTTTCTTTTCAAAGTTCTCTCTAGTGTCACATTTCCTTTCAGCTTTCAAGCTTTCATTTGCCTGTTTCTCTTGCAACAAGTGGCCGGCCACTTTGCAGCTTACGGTTCATTACCTTGTTCCTTCTTTTAGGCTTCTTCCTCTTCTTCTATTTCTTTTAGGCCATAAAAAACGCCTTCATACACCTGTTCTCACTACATTTTTCCTTAGCTATTTCAGCAGGAAAACGGGTGCATACGGAGTGGAGCGCCTGCAATCTTAATTCCTTTTCTCTCCCATTCATCATGTTCTTTAGTCATGGTCATGAATCTCCGCTCTTTTTCTCGTACACTTGTTTGTCGCGGAATACAGTGCGTAACAAAAGTACGTGGACACCTCAAATTTTTGTCCTGCAAAATTGCCTTTGAATTTTGCGATGTGAGACCTTCATTGTTGAATTTCCTCACAAGCGAAAACATAGGAATTACTCCACTTCTAACATTTTGGGACCTATGACAATTATTTATTGTTTTAAAAAAGTTTCTTAATAATCAAAAGTATGTGGACACTTAACAAAAAACAAATGTGTCGTGGAAAATAGAAGTTGGTTCTTCCTCCAGGCATTCTGTCTGGGCATGCTGTGGACTGTGGACAAGATTTGTCATGGTGTCTTCGTCGAATTCCTCCCATGCATCAATTATTGCCTCCTTCAAGTCTCGCACGCTGTTGTACTGCCCACTGTTCATGTAGATTCGTCGAACCATGATTCCCCACAGGATTTCGGTTGGGTTGCAGTCAGGAGAACACGCCGGCCAATCAATCACTTTGATACCATTGCGTTGGAGCCATTTTCTAGTAGAATTTGAAACATGCACGGCCGTGTTCTCCTGCTGCATGTCCTGCGTCGTAACCCGCTCAGAAAAGGCAAGAGGTTAGACTCAAGCACTCCTTGGCTATTCCTCACTGTTCATACAGCACGATGGGAAGGCAAGCTCCAACTTTCCTCTGCTTCCAAAACCACCCCGTACCATCAAGAGGCGCCTCCGAAATTTCGTCTCGAGAACACCAACGGATCGCTACAAAGGCCTTTCCAGTGATGCTGATATCCATCTGGACCGTCGAGATTGACTTTTTCTTATCAGTGAAGATAACCTAAGAAAGAAATGCGCATAAGATGTTGCCTTTCGGATTTTACAAAGATATCAAGAAACTGCACTTTGTCCCAAAACGTCGCCATTTTTGCACGCAGTTCAGAAGTTTCGCCAGCTGTTTGCTTCAGTAAAAGCAAAGTTCAGTCTTGCCAGCTGGTGCTTGGCAGTCAGACAGGGAGCTTTCTTCATGGTCTCTCGAGTGATGTGCTCACTTGATCGAATAGAGCGCCATATTGTCATTTTTGAGACCGGTAGATTCATCGCGGCATGGATCGTGGGTGCCTCGAAACAGGTACTGAGTGGTAGCCATCAGGATTCTGGAGGTATATACCAACGCACGTCGCCGAAAGTCCAAGCTATCTTGCAATTCGAGTGTCCTGCAGCACTGAAAGCTCGAATCCGAGCTTGTTCGTCTTCGTAGGGAGGACTACCACGACGAGGTATGAGTACAGGTTAATGGGGACTAGAGACCATAAAAATGGATTGCAGATCTGGAGCCAAACTTTGGACTTCCTCAGGTGTCCACATACTTTTGTTATTAAGAAACTTTTTCAAAACAATAAATAATTGTACAGTAGTTCACAAAGTGCTCAGAAGTAGTGTATTCCTATGTTTTCGCTCATGAGGAATTCAACAGTAAAGGTCTCATATCGCAAAACTCAAAGGCAATTTTGAGACGAAATTTGAGGTGTCCACATACTTTTGCTACGCACTGCATGCTTTCACGAATTACGTTGCCAGCAACTAGAGAAGGATGCGAGTCTGTGAGAACATACACTAGAATGTCGTCTCATTATTTCTGACACTAACCTGCAAAATGCATAAAAAAAAGCCTTGATTCTAAAGTCTGGTGGTGCTAAACGAGGCAAGTCGCCCTGAACCTTCTAAATAGATAAGGGGAGACTTTTACGCTAAAGAAAAGGGTCTAGCGACATACGAGTCATGCTCTATCTTCCCGCACGAAGCTGACAACTGCTTTGGTTCGGTTCATTTGGGTAGTATTCATCGAGGCCGGGCAAGGTGTGTATGCGGTGATCTGGCCATTTATTGCTGCCTGAACTTCGACTCCATTGAGGCTTTTCGCTCGGTTATGGATTTTGTGTCTCGTGGATATCCATACAAAGTCATTATACCTGCTATAGCTGCTATCTTTGTGCGCCACATAGTACACTAAATCCCTGAGATGCGGTGGGCGTGGCTGCGTATTCGAATTGAACCTGGACGGCGGCTAAGCTTTTTGTGAGATGGTTTCATTTAGGGGCAGCTTTAATTCATGTTGTTGTCCAACACCGAACAAGACGAACAAGATGACAATTGTCTCAAATTAAACCATCCCACCAGTAACCAATCCTATACATGCTCAAATGCCACGCCTACTCCGTCCCAGGGATAAGGAATATAGCCATGAATTCGTTCACAATGATTAGACAAAGGTCCGCTAGCCTCTCCGCCAACATTCTCTCACTGAAATTTTGACATTTTTTGTCCCTTTTTTTCGTATGACACATTCTACCAATTAATCAACATTGATCCACATTTCTTTGGATTTTTTTGCTTATACCATCTTCGAACAAGCCACCATCGTTCATTTTTTTCCAAAAAAAACATGGAAATCCTGTTTGATTATTTGTACGCCTTGTTCACGGATTTAATGGAATTTTTTGATGGCATATACAGGGGGGCCAAAAAAAAAAGTCATTTTGCCTCCATGACTTTCAAGGCGCTATAAGTTACACTTTATTAAATTTTTATCGGACATTTTTACTACCATATTAAAGAGCACATTAAATACTATAATAATGTTCCGCCACAGCCTTCTGGAGGAGCGCCATCGAGAGATTCGGCCGCGCGAAAGTGAGTGGGTACCGGAGTTGAGCGAGATCGTTGATTTCTCCGCCACTGTAGACCACCCTGTTGAGCTCCGCCCGAACTAGGTAATTGAGTGGGTTCAGGTCAGGGGACATACTTCAATATTACATCTTCTTCAGGTACGAAACGCCCTTCCATTCGAAGTAGGCGGGAGTTTTTCCAAAACCCTTCGATTCCATGTGGTGGCACCCAAACCTGTAGCAGCACAAGGTCTCCAAGAAGGTACGGGCGACCACATGTAGGGAGGATATCCTTCTCGAGTTACTTGTAACCGCCAGCGCTCACCTTCAGTCGGGGTCTACAAAGAAAATATCGGTCTTCCCATTCCAGGTACGGCCGGTCCACACCATCAACCCGCGCCTTGGTGAATGGGGTGAAGATGATGTCCTGGACCGTAGCGACGTTGCCGGAGCTGCTCGATGTTTGAGGTCTTGCAGATCAAGAGTACTGGTCTCCAGGTAGCTATCCATGGGTGATTCCATTCAAGAAGTTCCGCAGCTGTTTGGAGGCCACGTGAATTCCAAAGGCGTTCTCCACTCAGGCCGCGACTGGAGATGACTTCATATTTTGGTGTACATGAAGGTGAATGGCGGCAGCCGGCTCCTGCTTATAGAGGAAGATCTTGGGTATCTTCCGCCCTGGTACTCATATCCACTTCCTCTGTCTGGGCTGCGAAAACTTCGCTCATATGTGACTCGGCCGGAATGACTTTTTTTTGGCCCCCCCTGTATCTGACCTACACTACAAACTAATTCTCCGAAGATCGGCTTGATAATTGGAGTCAGATATATGAGAGAAAAAACACCTTTTGTGAGCTATCGTACCTTGATAGCGTGAGATTCCTGAGCGTAGTTCGTAGCCGGAATCCAGTCTACATGACCTGCACGATATCTATTGAAGAGAATATTCATGCTATACCGATTTTTGAAATTTCCTTCACTCTTCCTCCGGGATGGCTCCCAGTTCTCTTCAGTGACAATCATATGCCTCGTTTAAGCACGTACTTGAATCTGCTCGTACCTTGCTCTGCTGTAGAATCGGAGAACACCAAGAACTATAGAAGAACTGGGGTATTTCTGATCCAATACATACGTTTTTCTTTTCACGGATTCTCTACTCCAGTGGCGCAAGGAATGAACGCATTTTACAAGAAGGTTTCAGAGATGATACTCACAAACTTACTTGCATTGCTCCAATTGGTGATAGTATGTGAGGCATTCCGAACGCAGAGTGTGGCGGTGAAAGGACGATTGATGTGCGGCAGTCAACCAGCAGCAAACGTGCGTGTCAAACTGCTCGACGAAGATCAAGGTGCACCTTTGTTCCTAGAATTGAAACGGTCGAAGGAGACTCCTGAAAGGCAACAGAGAAAAAGCTGAAACATATTGGTGCTGTATAGGTCGAGGTGAACGTGCGGAAAAAAAATTGGGAGCACAAATTGCGGCACTCTGTGTTGATTCAAGAGTTGTGGCTCAGTTCATACTTTGCACAACCGTCACTCATAATGCGCGCCACGTACGCTAAAAACGACTCAGCGTGCGTGTAAAGCTCGTGGGTACGGTAACGGACTTGGTCGATTCATTTTCTTTTGATTCGCGCTGTCTGGCGGTAGTCGCTTAACACGTGCGACTCTGATTCGCAAACTATGAACGCACCAGCAGAAGAAAGGATCATTACCTCGCTGGGAAAGAGAGAGAGAGAGAGATAGAGAGAGAGACCCATCGCTGCTCCTGGGACTGCGCTGCTGTTCCTCTCCTCTCATCTCGTTCAGGAGAAAAAAGAAAATTTAGAGAACTGCAACTGTCTACGAACTGTCTACGTAGTGCAGGGGAAAACGACCGCCTTCCGGCGCTAATCTAGCTGAGAGGGGGAGGGGACTCGGCACGTCTCTGTATCCAAGCCACAAAAAAAAGGTTCGAGTTATAGTGCAACGAACCAAGTCCCCGAGGACTTTTATGTGGGGAAAGAGCCTCTCCACTAAGCCCAAACCTTATTGGGAAAGAGATACAGAGGCACGATCAGGTTGATCCTTCAACCCCTAAACGCCTATCTTCCTTGCCCTGGTTCAGATTCGGGAGAGCATAGACTACCAACGTCGCCGCGCCTTAGTGCTGCCACATGTCCCCTAAAACTATGTCAGGGCCAACAGCGGACCATAAAGATATAACGAGGGACCATTTCAGGTGATCCGGACGACGTAATGGACCAAATGGACACGCAGTCCGATGGCCACTTCAGCCTCAGCGGCTCAGCATCCGAATTGACACCGATCGACCCCGAAGTGCGGATTTATCACGACTGCAATGATCATGGAAAGGTATGAATAATAGTGTTGGGTTTCGTTAATTGTTCAAGGGCACATTTTACAACAATATGGTGTTGGCAGTGGGGCAACTAGATGTTAAAGGAAGAGTAGTGAGGGTAAAGGAGAAGGCACTTCTATAAACCCCAGTGACCCCTTCCCACCAGTTGGTTCTGAAAGCTCCATGAGTTTTTGGCGAAGAAACACTGGGAATCTGGAAGAGGTATCAGACGACAAGATGGCGAGGGATACGGGAGATGACAGAGACGACAGACAGCAACGCACCCTCAATCATTTTGTTGGGGTAGGCTTGCGGCCGTAAAAGTCCACTGACTTGTTTCGGAAACGTTACGAATGGTCGTTTTCGCTGCGGACGCTGGGGCGTGGCAGGGGCTGGTTTAGCGCGCCACCTGGACGTTCCACACCAATCTGTAACAAATTTCAGCCATGCCAACGTGAATGGATCATCAGAATCCCGAGCAACTACATCTATTCGGGTGGAACCAGAAAAGGACGATGGATTTAGGCACGATGAATCTTGAGGCCAGTCAAGAATCCAAATTGAAAAAATACATGCTCTAAAGAAATCTATTGATTTTGCACGCTTCTGATCGATTTACTTGTTCGTATGCATTATGTCACGTTCAGAAATGTAGAGACAGCTCAGTGGGAGATAACACTTCTGTTTTCAGGTCGAGCTGGAAAGCGAAGGTCAACGCTGCACCCTCTGATCTAAGCCCATTTATTGATTGATTGATCGGTTGATTCATTATTTGTCACATATTTGTATGCTATGTTTCTCGAAGGGTTCAAAAATTTTCTATCCAAGCTTATTGATAATTTCCGGAAAGGTCCATTTCCACAGATTTATCTCTCAGTTTTGAATTTTGTTGAGCCGCCTGCCCCGACGGGAATTCCGACCGCGGCATTGATCTTACGCGCGTGAGAGCGATATCCATTTCTCACTTCCACAAGCCGACTAACCCGTTCCTGCTTACCCAGGACGCGATGTGGTGTAGTGGCAAGTGGTGCATCCGCATACATGGTCTAGAGGTCCAATCCTGAGTTGAACACGACTTGGCACTTCATCCCTCCAGGGTATTCCCAGAATCTCGACGCTCGGGCAGTCCATATCAGGGCATAAGGAGAGGGCGGGCGCTGTGCGGGCATTTTGCACTTTCACTGCTGCACTAGTTCCGGTTTTCAGGTTTCACTCTGGTAAAGCCTGTGAACTCTTGTTAAGCTAGAGTAGGCTCGTCGAGCTACCATGATAAAACCTGTCAACCCTTGTGAGCTCATGAAATAGCTCTCTGGTTAGTAGCAAAGTGCAAAATGCCCCCCCCCCCGTCGCCGAACTGCGCCGGAGAGGGCGTGCTCACAAGTTGGTTCGCGGCAGCGTATCTGTGAAGTGGTATCGCGTCAAGGTACAGACGAATAATAATGAAATTCAGAAAACTGAGCCACATTGTCATTTCTGCTAGACCAACAACATCCCCCTCACTCCCCCCCCCTTCTCCCGGTTTCACGGCTCTCGCCACGTTCATAACAGAGTCCGTGAACCGCCCTCCACATCCCCACCTCCCCCAAGGGTGAGAAAATGTATGTATAGAGATCCACCTGTGTGTTTTTGTTTTTCGGAAATGTGTACGTCATCTCTGGTCATTTTGTTTTCGATGGTTGTGGTGGCCTATGGCGTCAGTAGCAGACAGCAAAATTACAGGGTAAGTATTTCAATCAATTATTATTCCGTCGATTTCCAAAGACTTGGGAGAACAAAAATATGAGAGCGATTTTCCTATTTGTATATACCACTTTCACTCGAAATTTACCAATTCACCACTTTTCGAACCGAGTTCATCATTTTTCCAAGCGAATTCATGAGGCATTCTTACGAAAGTGGGCCGAGCTCCTAAGATTGGGCGGGGCTTCTTGTAGCTGTCCAAATAAGTCAAAATTTTGACAAGCAAAAATTCAAAATTTCGCAAGAAGACAAAATGGCCAAAAAGTAGAGCTCGCCATGGTGTATAGTATGATCTTGTAAATTAATGGTCCGGGTAAGAAACTGGCGAGTTTGATGCTGGAAGCGGTGAATTTGAAGTCAAAAGTGGCGATTTGGTTTGAAAAGTGCTGAATTCAAAGTGAAAATGTTGTATATGCTTGTTATATCCTCCAGGTTAATCTTACTATGTATTTTATTTTGCTGTACATTACTGTCCAATTTTATCACATTAATCCAAATTTCTATTTCAGGTACGTGGTGCTCTGATGTGTGGCGATAAACCAGCGAAAGATGTGCAAGTGAAATTAGTCGATGATGATTTTGGTGGGTAATAAGGTTTTAAAAAAACCATATGCTACTTTCCCGGCCCAGCATGCGTTTATGCTTTCTAAAGTACACGGTGCGGGAGAAATTTCCCGATGGGTGGGATTTTAAGGCGACTCTCCGCATTTTGTTTGCACTAGCCATCTTCGAGAAGTGGGCAAAATCTTTCGGGAGAGTTTCAGCACTTGCTAGAATCTCAAGGATTCGGGTGGATTATGCGAGAGCCTGCGTCGTACTGGTCCTGCATTTTTAGGGTTGCACGGCTTGGGCTATACGCTTGTCGTGGGTTACGGGTTTTGTTACGGAGTAGAGGGAGCAGTCACAGGAAGAAGCAGCGGTTCGTCCGCACTGTATTTCTTGTGAATTACTCGCCTGCTTTTCACCACAAGCTTTTGCTGCTCCTCTCGAGTAATGCCACAAGTCGAATTCATACTTCGCGATTCAGTCGTGCGATTTGAGAATAGCACGACCCCGTTGTAATCAATAGTTAGGCGACTGGAAGTGCCCAACGTTTCACGACACTTTAAAATGAAACTCCTGTCGACTTTCGCAGTGGTCCCACGATTGGCTGCGGAGCACGCGTGGATGTAGTCACGCGATTCAATCGCTCCTGTTGCGAAGTATGAACGCAGCCTAACCTCTGGATTTCTAGCTCATTTTTACCACCTTTCAAAGCGAAGAACTCAAGCCTATTATTGAAAATTCCTGCTACAGGTCCGGACCCTGATGATGTGTTGGACTCGGGCTACACGGATGCTAACGGAAATTTCGAATTGTTTGGCTGAGCGAACCACCATCGATCCACAATTAAGGTTCTATCATGACTGCAATGATGGGATTACTGTAAGTACAGCTTGTGTCTTACCTTATTTATAACATTACCAGTCGGATCGCACGGCTGACGCCGTGCTCTCCTCCTTCTCTTGAGCTCGGCTTCGCCGAGCTGGCCTGGCTTCGCCAGGCGGCTCCATAATTTTAGCGGAACTTTTTCGGTAGTGCGCTGCTCATAAGGTGCTGTAGTGATCGAATCGTAACAGACAGAGCAAGGCTTAGGATCCCAGCACGCGCTTCCATTTACAGCAGCGGTGTAGTCCGCGCCATGACGCCCATAGAATACATAAATCTGTAGATAGATACAATGTGTAGTCGGCCAATACAGCGCAATATGAATCGCTCAGTGAAATAGCAGATTTCGTTTCCATTACCTGCACCGGAATGCCTACCGACGAACGCTTTCCTTTTCAATTAGCAGCCTTCCGCTCGTGTTTTTCGGTTCTCCTCGAATTTCCCTGAGATTCCGTTTCAGGCGAACTACATACCCCCCCCCCCCCCCCCCCCCCCCCCCCGCTCGTCGACATCGGCATTATATAGTAGGATGAGTTCATTTTCTAGGGCAATCAGGGAAGTGATGGCTAAAGGAAAAGTATGCACACTGAGCCTTTGATACTTGGGGTATAGTGATAAGAGAGGTAATGATAATGGCCCCTTATCCTTTCTTATCAATTGATAAGATCCTGTCACCCGTCATCAATGTCCCTATCACTAAAACTCTGTAATTTGGTAGTGTAAAGGCTCCAGCAATTTGACTGAACATTGGCAACGTTCCTTATCAGCCCCTATCAGCTGTTATCACCTCACGTGCCGTGTCCCCATCTCCAACTCTATATCATTTTCTGAAATTAATGCCTAGCTGATGCTGTGTTCCGCGTTATGAGTATGGTGACCTTACCATTCTAACTCCCCTTATCAAATCCTATCAGCTGCTATCATTCCCTGTCACCCATCAATAATGTTCCTGTCCTCACGTCCTATATCATACCTTGGAACCAATGTCCCACTGTTACTGTGTCCCGCACTATGGGCTCGGTCACCCTCCCCTTCTGACGCCTCTTGACGGATCTTATCAGCTGCTATCATTCCCTGTCACCCATCAATAATGTTCCTGTCCCACGTCCTATATCATACCGTCCCACTGTTACTATGGGCTCGGCTCACCCTCCCTTTCTAAGGCCCCTTATCGAATCTTATCAGGTGCTATCACATTCTATCACCCACCAAAAGTGTTCCCGTCCTGCCATGTATATCACTTCTTGGAACTGTCGTCCTATCTTTTCTGCGACGCTATGAATTTCGTGACAGACAGACAGACGCACACACAAACACACACACACACACAACACACTTACAGACATACTTAGCGGATTATATACAGTAGGATAGTAGGATCTACAGTCGCATTACTCTAGTCTAACGACTATCATCTTTGCTGAATTGTTGTGGTGGCAGGACATGTCATGTGGTAGAAGTTGTCTTCTTGGCATGACGACCACACCCATATTTTCCTCCTCCGGACGCAACATTCCTCATTCCTCATAACCTCCGCCATCTCTGCAAAACTTTACGTTTTCACAGTTTTCGCGAAATCTTCCATTCCTAAATCCTCACGCAACCTGGCCTGGTATATGAAGCGACTTACAAGTGCGTCTTTGAGACTGGTACACCTAGGAGAAAAGTGGCTAAAGAAGGATTGAAATGGCGCCCTGTAAGTAAATATATTGCAAAGTAGTGAGTCTCTTATCAATCCACGCGCCACTTGTTCACCACGGACTCTGCCTTTAACCACGAATCATATGAACTCTATTCAGAGAACATCTGCATTGCCGCTTTAACAAGAGTATTCAACTTGGGCGCAGTTCGGTTTGGTGGGGCACCGAATTCCTGTGACCCATAGTGGATTACATCGCACGCTTTTCCAGCATGTACGCGAGTTTACGGGTATCCAAGAAGAGACTCGGTATCTTAACGTGAACTAGTGCAACAAGCGAAAGCACAAAATGCCCCTCCAAGTTGAACAGCTTCACCTTCTTTACATCCTTCTATGAAACGTACGTCAAAGTGACTCCTAGTGTTCTCTTGGCTGAAAATGATGAAGAAAGTCAATAGATCCGAATTTTGTAAGACTGATTCTGGTACACAGAGGGCCAAAAAAGGGCACTTTCTTCCTTGACTTCCGAGGCGCTATAAGTTGCACTTTGTTAAATTCTGATCGGGCCATATTACAGCATATTAAATACTATCATGATACTCCGCCACAGCCTTCTGGAGGAGCGCCATCGAGAGATTCTGCCACGCGACCGTGAGTGGGTGCCTGAGTTCAGCGAGATCGTTGATTTCTCCGCCACTGTAGACCACCCTATTGAACTCCGCCCAAACCAGGTAATTGAGGGGGGAGGTCAGGTGACCTGCTTAGATATTCCACCTTCTTCAGGTACTCAACGCCCTTCCATTCCAAGTAGGCGAGAGTTTTTCCAACGCCCTTCGATTCCATGTGGTGGCACCCAAACCTGTAGCAGTACAAAGTTTCCAAGAAGGTACGGGCGACGACATGTGGGGAGGATATTCTTCTCGAGCTGCTCGATGTAACCGCCAGCGCTCACCTTCAGTCCGGGTCCACGAAGAAAATATCGGTCTTCCCTTTCAGGTCCGCTACCATCAACCCGCGCCTTGGCGACTGCGGTGAAGATGATGTCCTAGACCGTAGCGACGTTGTCGGAGCTGCTCGATGTTGGAGGTCTTCCAGATCGAGAGTACTGGTCTCCAGGTAGCTATCCATGGGTGACTCCATACTAGAAGTTTCGCAGCTGTTTGGAGGTGACATGAATTCCAAAGGTCTTCTCCAGTCAGGCTGCGACTGGAGATGACTTCATATTTTGGTGTACATGAAGGTGATGGGCGAGAGCCAGCTCCTGCTTATAGAGGAACATCTTGGGTATCTTCCGCCCTGGTACTCGTACGTCCTCTGTCTGGGCTGCGAAAACTTTGCTGATATGTGACTCGGTCGAAGTGACTTTTTTTTGCCCCCCCCCCTGTACATCCGTCTACTTGCTTGACTGTCTCCGTGTCCCCATGGCATAATCCCCGGTAGCCTAATACCACGTAAAAGCCAAAGCGTAATTTTGATCAGAGTCTTCGAAAATTCCAAACTTTCAACTTTATTAGGCATGTCAGCAGAACTAACCCTTTGAATATTCGTTCCTTCGGATGTTCTTCGTTCCTTCGAAGATGTGAATTGACCAGAAAAAAACCCAAAAAGCTGAGCTAAGCATATTGCAAAACGGAGTTCTGCGAAAAAAGCCCGTCATAATATGGTGTCTGTCCCGATAATAGTTAGAAACCCCAGAAAAAAAGTTAATTTTTTTCTGAGTAGTTTTTTCATGGTCCAATTTTAGCCTTGTCAACGACGATGGAAGTTCGAACTACCAAATCAATATATCACCTCAGGTACGTCATGTCATTCTTTCTGAGTATTATTCAGTTAACTCTTTCTCCGGTTACGCCATTCCTCATAGTGTTTCGGTTAGAAGGAAGCAAGGAAGACTGTCTCATCGAAAACGTTAAGGCGTTTCACTACAACTAAGGCAGGCCACATCGTGCGTAGGGAATCCTCCGCGAAAGGAGGGCAGGGTCGTACTTGGTGGCCGGAGGGAGGGAAGGGCGTCTCATTTGCCTTTGTTCTCGGCTGTTGAATTTTTTTTTCATTCCCCACTTTTTACGTGCGCTATGTACCCTTGCCTGACTGCAGTTTTCCCAGAAAAAGAAAGAGACTTTTCTGAGAAGTCTCCGGAAAAAGACTTGCGTGAAAGCATGTTTGCGTGTGAAGGTAGCTAGTGTGAGGCGGTAGGGTGGTCGATACAAGAGAGGAGATTTTCAAGAACGGGAATGGCATCTTTCCAAAAGTTTTTGCGAAGGTTAGACGGGCTTGTAAGGTGAGGACAGCGCTCAAACCGCAGCTCGACAGGTCACGACGCCTCAGTTGTATGTTCATACATTCTAGTTATCTCGCCTTGAACTGAGACTTCTGATGAATAGCTGCGGATAGAGGATGAAGTTTTTCGGAGTGCAGCGTACGCAATGACGCTGCAACCATCCTCTTAGGTGAGAAATCTGTGTCTGGATCAGGAACATTCAAGTTGCCAGCATTCGCAGCGAATAGCTGCGTTTGTACTTTGCGGGCATGCGCTAGCGTTAGCGTAGCGCAGCGTAAACGTACGCTATCCAGGCGGACCCACGGGCAGTGCCGAAGAGAGGATGCATATCGATCTAGCTTCACCAGCGTCACCAGCGGCACGCTGGCGTACGCTAGCGGCACGCTAGCGTACGCCAGCGTTTCTCCAGCGTTTCACCAGCGTTTTGTACCCCCCCGCTCCCTCGTTTGCAGCGGCAGGGGAATAGAGACTATGGGAGAGCTGGAGGGTACAAAACACATCGATTGCCCGTCTCTCACTCGCCCTTAGTCTCTACAATGCGCATCGCTTCTGCGTCTTCGACGGGCACATAGTCTCTACAATGCACATCGCTTCTGCGTCTTCGACGGGCACATAGTCTCTACAATGCACATCGCTTCTGCGTCTTCGACGGGCACATAGTCTCTACAATGCACATCGCTTCTGCGTCTTCGACGGGCACATAGTCTCTACAATGCACATCGCTTCTGCGTCTCTCACGGCCACATAGTCTCTACTCCCTGCCGCTGCAAGCGCTAGCAAAACGCTGGTGCCGCTGGAGAAACGCTCGAGAAACGCTGGTGAAGCTAAGATCCGATAGCTATGCTTCCGCGTGGGCCCTCCATACGCCTCAGCGTGCGCTAAGGCGTGCCGCTGTGCGCTACGCTAGTCGTGGCGCTAGCGCACGCGTATGCGTACGGCCAGCTGCGTGCCGCTGGTGACGCTGGTGAAGCTAGATCGATATGCATCCTCTCTTCGGCACTGCCGCTGGCGTACGCTGG